TGTTGCCATTGTTCTATCTTCCGTGTTTGTCTACTGTACTTTTCTTTGCTTCCTTTGCTTTTAATTAAGCATTTTAAATAATTCTACTTTTTATATTTTCTTAGTTATCAAGTATAGGTCTTTTTAAAAATTTTTATTTCTTTAGTGTGTGTTGTAGAGTTTGTAATACACATTTACAACTAATCTAAGTCCACTTTCAAATGACACAATATCACTTAAGGAGTAGTGTGAGTACTGTATAAAAGCAAAATAATCGTAATTCTTTCCTCTTGTCTTATGTGTCATTGCTGTCATTGGTTTTCACTTATTCATAAGCTTACACATATATATACATAGGCTTATGCATATATATGCACCTAAGTATGCATCATTAAATACTTTGTTATTATTATTTTGAACAAACTCTTATCTGTTAAATCAATTAAGAATCAGAAAAATAAAAGTTTTACCTTTAATTATTAATTCTCTGACGTTCTTCCTTTATGTAGTTTCTGAAACTATATCATTTTCCTTCCTCTGATGAATTTCTGTTTTTATTCATTGCAAGGCAGGTCTGGCAACCAATTCTCTCAATTTTTGTTTGACTGAGAAAGTCTTTATTTCTCCTTCCTGTCAAGGATATTTTCACAGGGCACAAAATTCTAGGTTTGTATTTTTTTTCTCAACACTTTAAATATTATCTATACTCTACTTACTTGCATGGTTCTTGGGGAGAAGTTTCATCTGGTTCTTTGCTCCTCTATAGGTAAAGTGTTTTATTTTCCCTCTATCTTCTTTCTCTATCTTTAATTTTCTGAAGTTTGAATATGATAGACTGGGAATATTTTGGGGGGGTGTCTTTCTTGGTGTTCTATAAGCTTCCTATTACTATAATTTGATAGTAATTTGAAATTCACAATCATTATTGCTTTAAATGTTTATCCTGTTCCTTCTTCTATAATATTCCAGTTATTCCTATTTGTGTCTCTTGCATTTGTCCCATTGTGCTTAAACATTCTTTTCTAGTTTTTCTAGTCAGTCTTTTTCTTCTCTTTGTTTTCAGTTTGTCAAAATTTCTATTGCCTCTAATGTGTCTCTCTTAGAATAGAATTTCTTTTTTTTTTAGACGGAGTCTCACTCCAGTGCCCAGGCTGGGGTACAGTGATGCAATCTCAGCTCACTACAACCTCCACCTCGCAGGTTCAAGTGATTCTCCTGCCTCAGCCTCTAGAGTAGCTGGAACTACAGGTGCATGCCAGCATGCCCAGCTAATTTTTTGTATTTTTAGTAGAGACGGTGTTTCACTGTGTTATCCGGGATGGTCTTGATCTCTTGACCTTGTGATCTCTGACTCCCAAAGTGCTGGGATTATAGGCGTGAGCCACCGTGCCCTAGAACTTGTTTCTGCTTACATTACGTATCCCTTCTCGCATGTTATCTACTTACTTTATTAAAGCCCTTACAGTATTTGGATCATAGATTTTAAAATTCTTGAATTTAGAAGTCTAGCATTCCTGTTACATCTGACTCTGCTTCTGATGCTTATTTAATTTCTTCACACTGTGATTTTTGCCTTTTAGTATGCCTTGTAAATTTTTGTTGAGAGTTAGATATAATATATCCAGTACAATAAACTGCATTAAATAGGCCTTTAGTATTATGGTGTAAGGTGTGGGGCAGAAAAGGCCTTCTAGAGTCTTATCAGCAGATCTACGACTTTTAGCAAGTCTGTGCCTCTGAGCCATGAGCTGCAGAAGTGCTCCTCAGGTTTCCTCTCACATTAGTATTAAACATGAGATTTAGAGGGAGCTGGAGCGGAGTATTTCCTTTTCCCACATGGAAGGCTAGAAACCCCTCGAGTTAAGTATTCCCTTCTCCTGGGCTTGTTAGGCTCTGATGACATCCTAGTGGGTTAGGCTCTGAGAAAAGCAGAATGCTTTGAGGTATGTCAGAGTGGTTACCTTTTATCTCCCACTGCTCGAAACAGGAAGGGTTTTTTTTCTCAAATATTTATGGTGCTGACCTGATAGAGCTCCTGGAGGTGAAACTCCCAGAAGCATGAAGGGTTCCCTACAACTAGGTATCCCTAGAGTTTTAGCTCTCAGCTTTGCCCACATTGATTCTTCAGTAATTTGTTAGTTATGGTTCTTTCTTCAGTTCTGGTTTCTGTGATTTTCTGAATCTACCTATATCTTCAATTTGGGAGGCGTGGCTTGCCTTGTGATCCCACTTCTCTGACAGATCTAAGAACAGTTGTGCAATTATCATTTTGCCTGGGTTTTTACTTGTTTGTAAGACAGAGTGATGACTTCTAAGTTCCTTATATACATATACTGCACCAGAAACCAGAATTCTCTTCTATTTTTATTTCACTTTAATAAGAGGTAGAGTAACTCAGGTTCCTATGTTATCATATTTAAGGGAAACACATTCTGTTGGCTTTTCTTTTATTTATTCATTCAAGCAAGAAATATAGTTGAGCACCTACTGTATATGACAAGCATTTTTCTAGGCGCTATGGAGTCATGATGTCAAAGCAACTTCCTTCTATATTGATCCTAAGAGGGTTAATCCAAACATAGTGAAATGGCTTATTCATGTGTTAATTTTGTTGTTGTTGTTTGAGACAAGAGTCTCACTCTGTCGCCCAGGCAGGAGTGCAGTGGCACAATCTCAGCTCATTGCAACCTCTTCCTCTCAGGTTCAAGCAATTCTCCTGCCTCAGCCTCCCGAGTAGCTGGGATTACAGGCGTGTGCTACCAGACCTGGCTAATTCTTTTGTATTTTTAGTAGAGATGGGGTTTCACCATATTGGCCAGGGTGGTCTGGAACTTGTGACCTTATGATGCGCTCGCCTCGGCCTTCCAAAGGGCTGGGATTACAGGCATGAGCCACTGCAACCGGCCCATGTGTTAATTTAAAAAAATATATGATTTCTACATTCAGATTAAGCCAATGCCTAGTGAAATACCTCATTCTATATGAATAAAAGCAAGTTATTAGGACAGCTTTGCAGTTGAAACTGACAGCAGTGATTGTAAGTCTTAGTGATGCAGTGAGTAAACATTAGAATTATTATGTTGGTATCATTGCTAATTTAATACAACTAAGCTTATTATTAAAATGCATTTCATCTGCTACAAAATTATACCTTTGCTAGAACAGACGTATCTTTGCAATGATTGGCTGATGCTGAGTCTATGTCCTATAGACCTAAGTCAAATTGATTGGCATCTTCAGTAATTATTTTTCCATGCAGCATAATGACCCTGACCTCCAAGGCCTTCACCAGAAAGCTAAAGCCAGTTTTATTCCACCCCTAATATTATTCCTCTAAGAATTAGATTTTAACATTTTGCTTGGGTATTTTTTTCTGGCACTGTTTACGTGTTTAGTTTTTAATAATAAGTTTTAAAAATGCATTTTGAATTGAGTTGCTATTTTGTTTTGATAGTACATCACGCTTGCTTGCTGTCTTGTGGCTTTCCTCATCCCACTACTGTTTATTGATTTTTCTATTCGCATTGATATGTCTAGTCAATCAACGTTGATTCAATAAATAACTTGCTTTAGTTATACTTGGAGATATCAGACCAGAAAGTTGTGCTCTTAAACATGTAGAAACACCATCAGGGGTACTAAGAGATAGTATAATGTAATGCTTATATGCAAAGCTCTGGAACCAGACTCTCAAAGTTTGAATCATTATTCTTTGTAACTTAAGCTGGTGTGTGTGTTTGGCTTTCTGCATATAAAAATAAGATTTGTATTAAAATCCAGCTCATTAACTTGTTGGAAGAAATATGTTAAAATATATGAAGTGCTGAGAAAGGTGGCTAACCCATAGTAAATGCTATGTAAATGATTATTATTATACAGCTTCAAATTTAATTTTGTTTTCCTTAATGTACTTTTTCTTTCCTTCTAATTTAACTTGTCTCTTGCATAGTCATTTTCTGTGCCAAGACATTTAGTTAAAATATTATAGTTTTGTTAAGGAAGAGTGGTTTCTGCAGAAGTACTAGAAAACATTTTAGAATCTTGCAATGTCAGGAGTTGCTGGAGAGACTCTTTAAATATCACAGAACTTATTTTATCTTACAAGTTCAGAAAAAAATTCAAGTTATAGAAATCTGACTCCCATACAAAGAATTTGTGTTTTTTCCCAAACTATTTCTTGTGAGTGACTGTTACGTGATTCTACCTTCTCTCATGTCTGAATGTCAGCACTTAGTTCATGGCCAGACATCCAATTAATTTTGTTGATAGACTGACTGCAATTTTCTCCTACACTGTGTATTCCAGTGATTTCTACTGGGTCATCCTATTAGGATCTCTGTGAGAGTCTTAAATATGTTTGTCTCACCAGTGAATTTCCTTAAACACACTGTGCCTTGAAAAACATTTTCTGTGCATTCTCTGGCAGAGTATTTGCAAGAATAGGCTTTGAACTGAGGATAAAATCTAAGGGAGAAAGTTTTCAGAACAAAAATGCGTTCTTAAGGAATTCTTGGGAGAGTTCAATTCTGTTACTTAACTATGTTTTCTGAAGGGCATACGGATGCCAAGATATGAAATAACCAGGAAGAATGTTACTGAAGTGATGACAAACTTTTCCAGTAACAGCCAAAAGTGACACAACTTTCTTCCAAACCAAACTTTGCAATATTTTTAAAGGAAGGCTTAGTAACTTTGCAACATCTAGAAGCAAATGAGAAGGTAGAGATCCATCCCCCCTAGTGACTGATGACACTCCAGACACTGTGGAAGACTGAGAGCTACCTAGATAGGCAGTTTAAGGTGAGATGTCTCAGATGCACAAGGAATGTTGAGGTGTCTGATAAAGAAAACACATTAAGACACTGATGCGTAATTAGTACTTTAAAAATTAATGTTCTCCATGTGTTCATTTACTTAGAAATAAGAAACATTAAAAATGATAACAGAACAAAAAGATTAAATCCAAATAATAATCTAGGATTAGTCACAATGTAATAAGATACTAGATGAAGAATTTAAAAGTGCAGTTAATTTTATAATAAAATTAAAAATTAACACAAGATTGTACATTAGAGCTATTATCAATGACATTTATATTTTTCTATTTATCATAAAATTGAGCTACTCGATACTAATTTCCACTTCCAAAGTGCACTTGAAAGAACCCTATCTAACTCAGCTTTAAACTTTTGAAGCATTTGAACATTAAAAAAAACATTAATGACAACTAAACATTTTCAAAAGGCTTTGCATCCACATTATTTGAGGCAAAAAATACAGCCTTGACTATGAACAGGCAGAAAATATTAAGTTTGTTCAAATTAGGTGAAATGGAATCTGAAAAATGAATTTCTTTATTACCACAATGACTGGTTACTTCTGTTGCCAAAATGATGTAAAACTGGTCACATCTCACACCCTTGCTGGGTGTGGCTGAAGCAATAGATTCTTGGTCCCATATTTGTAGGAAACCAGTCAGGGTGATAGGAAAAATGATAGAAAAGATGCACAACTACTTGGAAGGCTGGGAAGTTTTGCATATCCTTGGGGGAGAATGAGCTGAAGGGGCTGTTCTTACCCTAAGGCAAAGGGAGAGGAGTAAGTACAAGGGAATGTAGGGGAGTTTATCTAAATGACTTGTTTACTCACGTGGTCCTAAAATGGAACTTTGCTCATCTACACGCATGACTCCTCCCTGAAAAGGAGACAACAATGTTAATTACCCACAAATGCTGTTTGCTCTAGGCCCTAGTCATGAAATCTGCACTAAATTAATGTGAGCATTTCCTGCTTATTGAGGTCCCCTAGCAAACTCACAGGCAGCATACCTGTGTCTGTGAACTCCTTTCATCTGTTGCTCAGTGAGAGTCTGCAGGACAGACTCCACATATGTTCACTGAGCAGGGTACGTCTCCTGATATAGGTGTCTCTCACAGGCTGAGACAGTGACAGGAGACTTTTCCTGGAGTCACAGGGAAAAACCTGCATTCTCTGTCAGCTACCCAGCTCTACCTAGCTATCGGTCTACAGGACCCATGAAGCAATGTCATGCCCAGAAAGGTAAAAAAGGGATAAAAAAATGCTGAACTTCACAACTTTTTAATTTTGAGAACTATATTTGGCTTGATATAACTCTAATTCATTTGAATTTGTGTCATCATCTTAATATAATGAACACAACACACACACACACACACACACACACACACACACACACACCCCTATTTGGTTTATATATTCTCCCAATCTCTATTCTATTAAAGCATTGATCAAAACCTATTTTGTCTTTTCCTACCAATTTATACAATTGTTTTGATTTATTTTTGCCTTTTTATGCAGTCTAGTCAATTCTCTTTCATAAATTTGATTTTGCTTCATCTTGTTTATTTTTATTCTGGTTTCTTATTTGCTTTTTTATGTGTTGGTATCTTTTCTCAGCTTACTTCATTTTTTAAAACTACAAGTGAATGTATTATATCTCCCTCCCTCCCATTTAAAATATTATTACTCTCCTAGATTTTTAAATCATAGGCAGGAATCATGGTCTATGCTATAAAGTAGATGCTATAAAGTTAATCTGTGCCCCAGAAAGGGAGACTAATGATTTTTGTCTATGTCTTTCTGGCCTTTTAAATATGACTGACCTCCGACTCTGTTTAAATTGGAAAAAAAAGGGTTGCAAGTCAATTAAATAATAAAACTGTGAGCCTCGCTTATAAAAGTATACAACTCAATTTTAGGATTCAAATTATCACACATAAGTAAATTAAGGCCTGGCTTTCTATATTACTGGTAGTGAAATTTTCTTATACATTCTGCTAGTGGCTTTGTGCACTTTTATTGCCCTGTACTGAAGGCTTGTTTGAACATGTTTTATATATATGAATTTTACTTTCACTTATTTATTTTAGAGTGGAAGGAGTAATGCAGAGGATCAAGGGGAAAAATGGAGAAAGTATCTTCCTCAGTCTTCAATAAACAAAGAGGAAAAAGAAAATTCACTAGCAAATCACACGTTTTCTTCCAACTGTAAAGTCAAATAACAACTTCTTCCAATCAGTTGTCTTTGTCTTTTCATAATCAAGTCTTCAACTTCCATGTGCCACATAGGAGAACAAGTTTGTTTGTGAGGCCACAGGGGAACTTGATGTCAACAGAAATAAGATCTGAACAAAGCCCAAGGCAAACATACAAAATAAAGGTGGAAACTACCTACCAAGAACTGAAACATAGTTGGGATTCAATGAGAATGAACGCAAAATTCACCCATTCATATATAATGATTTTTGCAGATGTTAGTTAATGATTTTCACTTCTGCATTTTCTGCAAGTCCTGGAATTCATCAGATCTGGAAGGAAACATTTCAACAGTTCCCAGAGAATTTCTGGCCTACCCATATTCAGGAAGTTATGTGAGTCTCATGAGGAATCCTGTTCTTGTAACAGTTATGGTCCACTTTGCAAACTCTGCAGAGTTGAATTAGGGTCAACAGCAACTACTATTTGTTGCCCAGTAAATACCAGACACGGTGTTAAGCACTTTACATATATCATGTCCTCTATGTCTGATGACAATCCTATCAAGTAGACAGCATTATCCCCATTTTATAATGAAAACCCTACAGCTCAATTCTTTGACCTCAAGATCACACAGCTAGTAAGTGGCAGAGCTGGGACTGGAGTCCAGGTCTTAAAGACTATATTCTTAACCATCAATTAATATTGCTCCCCAGCTTCCCAAATGTTTATGTAAACTCTATGAAGAGCAGGCATTTAAAATTGCGTTGTTAAATATTTTCAAGTTAACCTTGATTGCTTGGGAGATGAGCAGATATAATATAGTTTGGCTGTGTCCTCACTCAGATCTCTTCTTGAATGGTACTCCCATAATTCCCACGTGTTGTGGGAAGGAACTGGTGGGAGATAATTGAATCATGGGGATGGTTTCTCCCATACTGTTCTTATGGTAGTAAGTCTCATGAGATCTGATGGTTTTATAAGGGTTTTTCCCTTTTGCTTGGTTCGCATTCTCTCTTGCCTGCTGCCATGTAAGATGGCCTTCTGCCTTGATTGTGAGGCCTCCGCATTCACGAGAAACTGTGTGTCCATTAAATCTCTTTTTCTTAATAAATTACCCAGTCTTGGGTATGTCTTTATCAGTAGTGTGAACACAGACTAACACAAGATACATTTGAAAAGTTCTTCAACATCATTATGGTCATTTTTAGCATCATTTTAGAGTCAGTGATAAATGGTATCATTTTAAGATCTATGGGCAAGGACAGTGTAGAAGCCACAGCTGCTAACTGCAAGGGATATAAAATACCGGGTGGGAAGCCAAAAACTCCAATCTGTAAGAGTTACACACAGTGAAACATATATTAAAATTGCACAAATCACAAGAGGGTAAACATCCACAAGCATAACTTTTCTTTAGGGTTCACAGTTTGCCTTGAATTAAGCATTTTTAGAGTTTCCTCTGTCTTTCCTTGACTTTTTCCCCTACCCTCTTGTTGTCAATCTCTTTCTACCTTAATTAAAATTGCTATAGAAAGAATTCTCAAACAAAAAATTTAAATGTTAGGATATTTTTGTTTAAAATACCTAAATCCATAGAGTCAAAACATTTTCTATGTAAAAATCTTAGATTCAAGGGCAGGGTAGGAGATTCTTCTGTCAGCCTCCAGTTTTCAGATACCAAATTCTAGCAATTTCTTTTTTATATCTCTAAAATAAGAAAACGTCTCTTTTATTTAGGATCTTATTTCTTCTAATGTGTGCATTATTTCCACTTTTGCTCACTCATCCTCCAGGTCAAATATCCTTCTACAAATCCATTCCTTTGTTCTCATACTGTTAATGTCTATATGGAATGGCTTTCACTCGTCCCTGTTGGAGAGTTGCCCTTGGAGGCCATTTGGCAAGTAGCACAGTTCTTGTTTGTTTGTTTTTGAGACGGATTCTTGCTCTGTCGCCCAGGCTGGAGTGCAGTGGCATGATTTTAGCTCACAGCAACCTCTGCCTCCCGGGCTCAAGTTATCTTCTGCCTCAACCTCCTGAATAGCTGGGATTACAGGTGTGTGCCGCTACAGTTGCTTAATTTTTATATATTTTTATAGAGACAGGGTTTTGCCATGTTGGTCAGGCTGGTCTCAAACTTCTGAGTTCAGGTGATTCACCTGCCTCAATCCCATAGTCCTGGGATTACAGGCTCTAGCCACCGTGCCCAGCCTAGCATAGTTCATTTTTGTTCAGCAATCATTTATTGAGGTGTTTCTATGTGCCAGGCAGTGTGTTTGGTGTTGGGGCTATAATAACTAAAAAGACATGACCTCTGTCATAGGGGTACTCACAGGTTAGTGGATGAACTTTTCCTGCCTGTCTAACTCTTATTTTCTGGTTCCCACACTCCCTCTAAACTAAACCTTTCTTTCTTTTGCCACTTACATTCAGTTATCCCTTATTCAGCTCAGAGACATTAGCTGAGAGCAATGTCTGAATCCTTTGGAGTTTCCTCTATCATGTCCCTCGGAAATGGGGTGATATGGTTTGGCCCTCTGTGCCCACTCAAATCTCATGTTGAATTTCCAGTGTTGGGTGAGGGACCTGGTGGGAGGTGATTGTATCATGGGGGTGGAGTTCCCCCTTGCTGTTCTTGTGATAGTGAGTTCTCACGAGATCTGATTGTTTAAAAGTGTGTAGCACTTCCTCCTCCTCCTTCTCTCTCTCCTGCTCCACCACGGTAACATGTGCTTACATGGTAACACGTGCTTCACCTTCCGCTATGATTAGAAGCTTCCTGAGGACATGCTTGCTGTACAGACTGCAGAACTGTGAGTTAATTAAAACTCTTTTCTTCATAAATTATCAAGTGTCAGATATTTCTTTATAGCAATATGAGACTGGACTAATAAATGAGGTTTCCCCTGAAATTTTCTTCTCATAAACATCAGCTTATTCTAGCAATATTTTAACCCAGCTTCTCTGGCCAGTGTACCCTTGTAATTGCTTTAATTTTACTCTGCTGTCTTCCAAGTAAGATTATTCTTTTTAATGAAAGGAAGCAGATAATAAATAGTAAGTAGACGTTTTATAGGGAGAAAGTTTTTTTCTGCCTTAAGAGCTGAAGAATTGCTATCTTATTAGAGGACAAGTGATAGTTAAGAATAAAGGTCCTGGAATCAGGTTGCATGGGTTCAGATCTTGACTCTCACTATCTTTAGCTGTGACCTTGGGCCAGTTATTTCAGCTCTCTGGGGTTTGCTGTTCTCTTCTATTAAATAGGGTTAATAATAGGGCCTTCATATCAGGACTGTTGGGAGAAATAAGTAGGATTTAGAAGAGTCACATAAAATGCTCAATAATACTATCTATTATTAAATGCAAGTCCTATTCTATGATGACCTCAATAACGATTGATTTGAAATGAGCCTAGGATTTAAAATTTGCTATGTTCCTATGTATCAAGATCACCAAAAAATTATAACACAAAACGTAACTTCTAATGACTTCACCTAGTATTTCAATTTGGGAGATATATATATATATATATATATATATATTTTTTTTTTTTGAGACAGAGTCTTGCTCTGTCACTGAGGCTGGAGTGCAGTGGCATGATCTCAGCTCACTGCAACCTCTGCTTCCTGGGTTCAAGCGATTCTCCTGCCTCAGCCTCCCAAGTAGCTGGGATTACAGGTGGCTGCCACCACCTCTAGCTAATTTTGTATTTTTAGTAGAGATGGGGTTTCATCATGTTGGCCCGGCTGGTCTCAAATTTCTGACCTCATGATCCACCCACCTTGGTCTCAGAAAGTGCTGAGATTACAGGCATGAGCCACCGTGCCCAACCTGGGAAATATATTCTAAGAAGAAAGTAATTCAAGATGAAAACATACTTAGGTACAGAAATAGTAATCACATTAATTATTCAAAAAAGCAAAAAGCCTCTTCTGGATGTAACTTTCATTCAGATAGTAATATACTTAGAAGTATCATAAAAAATTTATATATTATATAAAATTAGAGAAGTTCCACAAATGTAATATCTATTATTTTATTTATATTATACAATAATTTATAACATTTAATAAACATTCATTCAAACTGTGTTTATAAAAATTATCTAATGGATGGAAAAGACTTATGACAAAACAGGTTAAAAAAGACAATAAAAATGGCCGGGCGCGGTGGCTCACACCTATAATCCCAGCACTTCGGGAGGCCAAGGTGGGTGGATCACGAGGTCAAGAGATCAAGACCATTCTGGTCAATGTGGTGAAACTCTAAAAATACAAAAATTGGCTGGGCGTGGTGGCGTGTGCCTGTGGTCCCTGCTGCTCAGGAGGCTGAGGCAGGAGAATTGCTTGAACCCAGGAGTCGGAGGTTGTGGTGAGCCAAGATCGTGCCATTACACTCCAGCCTGGGTAACAAGAGCAAAACTCTGTCTCAAAAAAAAAAAAAAGAAAGAAAGACAATAAAATTGTATATATTGTACATGCTAAACTTAAAAATAACACACAGAAGAGGAGAAATGCACCAAATTTTTCTGAGCAGTTAACTCTTTCTTGGTGGTGAGATTATAGGTATTCTTTCTATTTATCTGCATTGAAACTAATATATTAATTTATAAGATAAATGAAAAAATATTTTTAAAAGTTAACATGGATAAACCCGTTTTATAAAATGGCATTTGACCAGTTGGAATTTTAATTATGTTAGGTCAGAAAGGGAATCCTAAAATATTTGAAGGAGGGAGTTGCCTGTTTTTAATAATCTTCACTTAATAAAATGGTTTATACTCTGTGTACAGTTATTTTGAGATGTTGACATACCTAGAGATTGGTTGGCTAAATCATCAGACATCTAAATTTTAGTAATGTCAAGCAGAGCAAATAGAAAAATTAAGAGCTCTTAATTATACATCTGAGTCTTTTTTTCTGGTTCCTTCTTTATTTTTATTTTTTATAAATGAGACTACTGGGTCTAATAAAAATCAGTGCACTATATATTGAGTATTTCTGCAAAGGTAGTAGCAGAGGTAGTGGGAACAAGAGAGAAACCTTCAAGTACTGAGGGAGACAAATGTGAGGGTGAGGCCATCAGAGGTGATAGTAAAACATCTGACACTGGTGATTGGTATCATCCAGGACATTTGGGGGCTGTACAATTTCCAAGACCACTGGAAGTTTCCTTGGAGAGTGAAAGATACTAGATTTCTGCTCTTGGACCTAGAAGGGGAGGTAAAGGTTACTTGGCCTGCATCTACTGCAGCATCTCAAGAATAGACTCATCAGCTTTGTTGTCACTGCCTGACAAGATCCAAGATAACACATTAAGGAAAAATAAGTGGAGTCAGAAGATAGTCAGGAAGCTGCAAAACCACTGCTAGCTTTAACTTCCTCAGGATTCCAGAGCCCTTGTCCTGTTATTCCCCTTTCTTCCAGGAATAGATACCGTCATGTCTGAAGGGCAGAACTGGGACCGTCCCGATTCTGATGTATGTCCACAGCACTGTCTCTGTGTTCTCCCATACACGGTTCTCTTTTCTTGTGCTTAGGCTTCAAGCTTTCATCTAGAAGGTATGAGAGAACACAAAGAATGGCAGAGGAAAACTTCAATTTTGCAGGAAAAGGCACAACAATAGAGATTCTCAACAAAGATGGCAGAGACTTTCTAGATAAACCTGAAGATTTAAATGTGGACTGAATTCCTTCCCCTATTTGTAAAGGTATCCTTGCTTCTAAAGTGATTTCGTTTTGCTGCCTTCAGTTTATCATTATGATGAGTATCATCATCATTATTATCATTGTATAGTGGCTTACATTGGACAAAATACTTTCATATATATTGTTTTATTTAATTCTTATAAGAACCCTATGTCAAGTTATTACTAGCTTTTTACAGTTGAAGAAATCAAAACTTAGAAATTACATTATTTTCTCATGTAAAAAACGTCAAATTCACATGTTTTGACTGTTGTTCATCTGTTTGGTCCTAGAGCTGACATACCCTATCACGTCAATTGTCCCAAATGACAAAATCCTGAGACTGAGTGTACTCTCGTTAAGGCATGTCCCAAATTATCTAAATCTTCCTTTGGATACTTTGTTAGTCTAGTACTCAATGCTTATAAAACTCAGAAAAGTCTAAGTAGAATAGAAAGAATTCTACTTTTTTTTTTTTTTGCTTAAGAATACTATTTTAATTTATTTGCACTATCCTAAAGTGACAGTCTTGGCAATATTCTGCTCTGAAGTCTATCTTGATATATTTTCCATAAATATATGGTTTCCAAAAATGCTTCTACTTTGGTAGCAAAAGAGAAAAAAATGTTATTTTAGGCCCAGAAGCAAAGACTATGAAGGTTATGGGCAATATATATATATATATATATATATATATATGAGTGTACAGTTCTCCAAATCTTAACACAGGTCCAGTAAACATTTCCAGTTCCCAGACTGCCTTTTGGCTCTCATCAAAGAACTCCGAGCCCTGTCTCTAACTCAAAAAGACCTCCTATACCCTGATAACACCCTTGGTGTCAGATTCTAAAAACAGAGCTGTCAAGTGTCAACATTTGTGGAAAGGGGTCAAATTAGCATTTCCTCTTGAAAATTCATACCAGCTTTTTCTGTTACTGGCTCTGGCACTCAAAGAAAGCAGGGATGTTTGTTATTCCTTAGACCTAGATGAGAAAGAACTCAGCTCTGTTGCTTTCAGGGGATGGTAATATTTACTTGATGGCAGAAGTAAAAAAGATATGAAAACTCCTGACTTTGGGAGGATTTAATTTTTTTCTCTATCTATGGTGTCTCATTCAGTATAATATAACAAATCTTAGAAGGGTTATTGTTTTTGTTAGGGCTGCTAGAACAAAACATCTTGGGCTAGGTAATTTATGAGTAGCACAAATTTATTGCTCACAGTTCTTAGGCTGGAAAGTCCAAGATCAAGGAACCACCAGATTCAGTGTCTGGTGAGGGCTTGCTCTCTCCTTTAAAGATGGTGCCTTATTGGCCAGGCACGGTGGCTCAAGCCTGTAATCCCAGCACTTTGGGAGGCTGAGGCGGGTGGATCACGAGAGACCAAGAGCATCCTGGTTAACATGGTGAAACTCGTCTCTACTAAAAATACAAAAAGTTAGCAGGACATGGTGGCGCGTGCCTGTAATCCCAGCTACTCGGGAGGCTGAGGCAGGAGAATTGCTTGAACCCAGGAGGCGGAGGTTGTGGTGAGCCGAGATCGCGCCATTGCACTCCAGCCTGGGTAACAAGAGTGAAACTCTGTCTCAAAAAAAAATTAAAAATAAAAAAAATAAAGAAACTAATCCCATTCGTTAGGATTGAGCTCTTATAACTCAATCAACCCCACAAAGCCTCATCTCTTAATTCTATCACATTGAGGATTAGCCGCCAACATATGAATTTTTGGGAGACACATTCAGATCATAGCAGTTGTAACAAAAATTAGTAAAACTGTATCAATTTGAGATTTACTGAAACATATTTTTGTAGGATTTTATGTTTTTGATTCAAACATTTATTGAGTACCTATTCTCTATAAGGTACTGTGGGAGGTTAAAAATATGACTTTTTCAACCACACTCCTCTGGTAAGCCTTCTCTACACCTACCTCAAGACAATGGAAGATAATAATCTATACACTTCAGTGTAGCCAACATTTACCTTAAACGTAACATTCAAAAAGTATTTACTGAAGATCTTCTAAGTGTCAAACAATGTGCTAAAATCTCGAGAGCCAACATCTTTCCTACTAAGCTGTGAGCAACCTGAAGACTGAGATTTAAATGAAAAATATTAATACATTAATTGAAATGATGCTGGCTAACTCTCTAGAACAAAAGGGGAAATTGTAGACCCAGTGAGAGATAGGCACTAGAAGTTCAGTGGCAGGAAATGGTGAGCAGTTTCTTCCATGTTTTTTGTTTTGTTTTGAGACAGAGATTTGCTGTGTCACCCAGGCTGGAGTGCAGTGAAACCATCACGGCTTACTGCAACCTCCACCAGATGGTTCAAGTTATTCTCTTGCCTCAGCCCCCTAAGCAGCTGGGATTATAGGCGTGCACCACCATCCCTGGCTAATTTTTGTATTTTCAGTAGAGACAGGGTTTTGCCATGTTGGCCAGGCTGGTCTCAAACTCCTGACCTCAGGTGATCCACCCACCTTGGCCTCTCAAATTGCTGGGATTACAGGCGTGAGCCAACATGCCTGGCCTGAGTTTCTGCCTCCTTAAAATTAAACACCTGTCAGGGTTTTAGGTCTTTGCATCTTTATTCAATCGTCCAAATCCTTCAAGAGAGAATATAATTAGCGTAACTTGAGTCATAGGCCCACCACTTGGATAGCGGCACCTGGACAAATAATGCCGTGAAGGCAGCACACACAGCAGTGGAGTGCAAATTTACTCCAGGGATTGAGAATGTGTTTCCAAATCAAAGAGGAACAGACACAGCTAAAACACAGCAAATATACATTGTACGTGGCAACACTACACAAAAACCTTTTATGTCTAAATTCTGGAATTTAAAATGGAAATACTTACTTTACGTTTTCTCCCGATTTCTGATTCCTCTCATTTGCCTCTGGCCTTCATTCAGGAGGAATGTGGAGATAAAGGCCCACAGATGCATTGCCGAGATGTCCTACCAAACAAGGTAGACTAAGAATCAATAAGTCGCAGAATTTGGAAACAACTATTAACACTTTTGATTCTGTAGTTATCTAAAGGCTGTTTGCTTTTTATCTGGGCTGTATTTTGTATTTTTGCTAAGTATAAACTTATTTATTTGTCCTCCTAATTCAGAGAAGTGAATTCCCTCATCTTAGAGTCCTAATTTTTTTTAGGTACTATGAAAGCCACATTACTTAACATTTTTGTCTCAATTTTTCCACCCTCAAAACAGGACCTAGGTAGAATCATTATTAATGCTGCCACATTTAATGCTTGTCCAAATATTTATGTTACTCAGACACAGTTGTCTTTGCTTTTCCTTGAGAAACGTCCACTTTCAGTCAGGTTGGCCCAGGTAAAAAGATGAAGACAAGTCAAGTCTGATTCTGGGGCTTTCTGTTCACTGTTCTGTTTGGTTTTTCTCTTATTTTTTTTCATGCCCTTTTCCCACATTTCCATTTTCTCTCAGAGTGAGATAATTAGTGCAAAAAGTGAACTAAATGGTGCTTACGGACAGTAAGTCTTGAGCATACTGACATCGCGTCCCGAGTTCCACTTTTACACAAGTTGCTCAAATCTCACTGTAAATGTTGTCAAGTTTTCCACAGCCCAGGATGGCTGGCTGGCTTCCAGCTATGAGGAATGGCTTCCTGAACATGGTCTGGTGAATCTGGTGATTTTGAGATTTGTGTAGCCTGCATCTTCTCAGCTTTGAGGATTCAACAGTCATTAAGTTCTCAGCAAGAAGGGGGATTCTAGAGCTGTTTATATCACGTAGTACAAACCACATTTGATTATGTGAAACATCAGGAATTCACTTAAATCCATAGACAAATCACGATTCCACACAGTATTACATTCATTTTTTATGACTCATGGGAACTCTGTTCTTGTAAATTCAAATATGAGTGATTAAAAAAAATTCCTAAAGGGGTCTCGTTGTTCCTAGATATTTTATAATTCCTTGTCTTTCTTTTTTGAGAAAAAATGGAAAACCCTTGCTCCTTTATCCTTAGAATATCCTTCAGGTCCTGTTTCTCCTTTTCTCTTCTATCACTTAAGTGACTGATTAGGTTTCTTCATTTAATATCAGGAGCTTCATATCCTGAAAAAAATTATTTTTCCAAGTGAGCTCTGGAAATTTCTAGAAAAGAATTTCTTGAGATTGACATTTCATAATATTTATGATAGCTCATAACATATTATGAATGTGACAGAATCTCTAGCTTTACTTAGCCTTGTAGAATTTTTTTAATTACTTATTTAAATGCCCTGGCACCAACATCTTTATTAAATTGCCTTTGAAAATAATGTAAAGTTCTACACATTTAGGAAGATTAAACAAAGCCATCTTCGTAATGATACATATTGCTGAGCCAGGTTCGGAGGAAATATTAATAGTTATCGAGAACCTACTCTTTTTGTTTACTTATTTATTTAGAGTTTTTTAAGTTCATATCAAAATTAAGGAGAAGAACATAGATTTCCCACACTTCATGTCCCTACACATGCATAGCTTCCCTTATTATCAACATCCTTCACCAGAGTAGTATATATTGTTGCAATTGATGAACCCCCATTGACACATCATAATCACCCAAAGTCTGTAGTTTACATTACAGTTTGTTCTTGGTGTTGTATATTCTATGGGTTTAGACAAATGTAAATATGAGGATACATATGCATAATTACAGTACCATATGGAGTATGTTCACTGCCCTTAACATTATTTGTGTTCCATGTATTCATTTCTTCCTTCCTGCAACCCCTGGCAACTACTGATCTTTAAGTCTACATAGTTTTGCCTTTCCAGAAGATCATGTTGGAATTGTATAGCATATAGATTTTTCAGATTGGCATCTTTCACTTAACAATCTGCACTTAATATACTATATATAATATGCATTCCTCCATACTATATATAATATGCATTCCTCCATATCTTTGTAGTTCATTTTTTTTTTTTTGCTATGAAAGTGCTTTATTAGGCCAAACTACTTACTATGAAAATGCTTTAAAATGCAGCAGGAGGAGATGTAAAGACTCAAAGAAGTGCATAGTGACAATGGCTATCAGAACACACTAAAGAATCCACACTGCTTCCCCCTTTACCTAGAAAAGGAAGCTTCTAGGCTACCTCCTCCTCCTCAGCATACTCCTCAAACTCCTCCTCCTCAGCTGTGGCATCTTGGTATTGCTGGTATTCTGACTCCAGGTCATTAACGTTGCTCTTGGCCTCAGTGAACTCCATCTCATCCGTGCCCTCGCCCGTGTACCAGGGCAGGAAGGCCTTGCGCCTGAATATAGGTGTAAACTGTTCGGAGACGCGTTTGAAGAGCTCTTGGATCGCTGTGTTGTTACCAATGAAGGTGGCCGACATTTTTAGCCCCTGGGGTGGGATGTCACAAATGGCTGTTTTCACATTGTGAGGGAGCTGAATAATATTTTAATGTCTGAATGTACCACAGTTTATTAATTTTCTTCATCCACTGAAGAATATCTTGGTTGTTTCCAAGTTTTGGCAACTATGAATAAAGCTGTTATAAACATGCATGTGCATTTGTATGTGTATATGTGTGTGGACATAACTTTCCAACTCCCTTGTGTAAATGCCAAGAAATGTGTTTGCTAGATTGTATGATAAGTTCAATTTTGTAGAAACTCTCAAACTCTCTTCAACAGTAGCTATATCATTTTGCACTCCCACCAGCAATGAATGGAAGTTCCTTTTATTTATTATATTGATTTTTATTTATTAGCTTGTTGATGTGATGGAATACAAAAATTGATTTTCAAATGTTGAACTAGCCTTGTATAACTAGGATAAATCCCACTTGGTCATGATGTATGATTTTATATACATTGTTTGATATGATTTACTGAGGATTTTTACAGCTATTTTTATAAAATTTATTGATTCATAGTTTTTATTCTAATGTCTTTGTCCAGTTTGGGTATTGGCCTCGTAAAATGAGTTAAGAAGTATTCCCTCTGCTTCTCTACCCTGAAAGAAATTGTAGGGAATTGGTATCATTTCTTCCTAAATATTTTATAGAATTCATCAGTAAACTATTTGGTCCTGAACTTTCTGTTTTGGAAGGTTATTATTGATTCAATTTCCTTAATATAGGACTATTCAAATTGTCTATTTATTTTTCTGTCAGTTTTGCCAAATTGTGTTCTTCAAGAAATTGCTCCATTTTATCTAGGTTATCACATTTGTGTATGTGTTGCTCACAGTATTCCTTTATAATCCTTTTAATGTTTATAGGCTCTATAATGATGTCACATCTTTCTTTTCTGATATTAGTAGTTTGTGTTTCTTTTTTTTCTGGTTCTTTTCCAAGAACCAGGTTTTGATTTTGTTGATTTTTCTCTATTAATGTACTATTTTCAATTTCATTGACTTGATTTTTCTCTAATTCTTATTTTTTTTCTTAAAAATTACTTTGGATTTAATTTGCTACTCTTTTTCTAGTTTTCTGAGATAGGAACTTAGAATATTGATTTTAGTTTTTTTTAAAAGTAATACATGCATTTTAATAAGATAAATTTTCCTCTAAGCACTGTTTTTGCTCCATTTTATAAATTTCATATTTAAAATTTTCTTTTGAGATTTCTTCTTTGACCCACATGTTATTTAAAAGCATGTTGCTGACCAGCCTGGGCAACACAGCAAGACCTTGTCTCTACAAAAGTTATTTTAAAAATTAGCCCAGAATGGTGGTGTGTGCCTGTACTCCTAGCTACTCGGAGGCTGAAGCAGGATTGCTTGAGCCCTGGAGTTCAAGGATGCAGTGAGCTATTATGCCACTGAACTTCATTCAGTCTGAGTGACAGAACAAACCCTTGTATTAAAAAAAAAGGCATATGGCTTCATCTGTGTGCATTTTGGGATGTGGGATTTTCCAGTTATCTTTTTATTATTGATTTCTAGTTTAATTTCATTTTGTCTGAAAGTAGACACTGCCTAATTCATATTCTTTTGAATTTGTTAAGATGTGTCATATGGCCGGGAATAAGATCTATATTCATGAATGTTTCATGTAAGTTCGAGAATACTTTGTAATTAGCTGTTGCCTGATAAAATAATCTATAGATGTCAGTTATGTACAGTTGACTGATGGTATTGTTTAGTTCAACTAGGTTGTTACTAATTTTATGCCTGCTGGATCTGTCCATTTTTGACAAAGGGATGTTGAAGTCTCCAGCTATAATGATGAATTCACCTCTTCTCCTTTGTTGCCTCAGCTGTTTTGACTCTGTTATTAGGTGACTATACATGAAGAATTGTTAGATATCCTTAGAATTGACTCCTTTATCATTATGCAATGCTCTTCTTCATCTGTGATACCCTTCCTTGCTTTGAAGTCATCTTTGTCTGTCTGAAATTAATATACCTATTTCATTTTCTTCTAATTAGTGTTAACATGCCATATTTTTCTCTATTAATTTACTTCTAAATTATACATGCCTTTATATTTAAAAGAGGCTTCTTGCAGACAATATATATTTTGGTATTTTTTAAAAATTTACTCAATCTGTCTTACAAATGGTACATTTAAACTATTGATGTTCAAAGTGATGGTTGTATTCACATCTACCATATTTGTACCGTTTTCTCTTCAAGGCTTTCTTTTCTTCTTCAGATGTCTGTGTCACCGAGTGTGAAGTGCAGTAGTATGATCACAGCTCAATGTGGCCTCAAACTCCTGTGCTCAAGTGATCCTCCTGCCTCAGCCTTTTGAGTAGCTAGGACTACAGGCATGTGCCACCATGCTGAGATAATTTTTAAATTTTTTGTAGAGATGGTGTCTCACTATATTGCCCAAGCTGGTCTCAAACTCCTGGCCTCAAGCAATCCTCCTGCCTTGGCTGCCCGAAGCACTAGTATTACAAGCATGAACCAGCATGCCTGGCCCCTCTGTTCTTTATTTCTGTTTTTATCTCCTGTTACTTCTGCTTTTTGTGGTTTTAATTGATTATTTTACAGATCCATTTTATTTCCCTTTTTAGCTTATTTTTCTTTTTGATTTTTAAAAAAGATTTTTCTAGTCCTTGCGATGAACATGTACATCTAATCCAAATCCACTTTAAAATAACATGATAGCATTTCAGAGATCGTGTGAATAATTTAAAAAATAGGGGCCAGGCACGGTGGCTCAAGCCTGTAATCCCAGCACTTTGGGAGGCCGAGGCGGGTGGATCACGAGGTCAATAGATCGAGACCATCCTGGTCAACATGGTGAAACCCCGTCTCTATTAAAAATACAAAAAATTAGCTGGGCACGGTGGCGCGTGCCTGTAATCCCAGCTACTCAGGAGGCTGAGGCAGGAGAATTGCCTGAACCCAGGAGGCGGAGGTTGCAGTGAGCTGAGGTCGCGCCATTGCGCTCCAGCCTGGGTAACAAGAGGGAAACTCCGTCTCTAAAAAAAATAATAATAATAATAATTTGAATTTCTTCATCACATTCTTTGTATCATTTCTGTCATTCATTTCACTCATATATAATCATACATAAGCATATAAAATCAAAAACATTGTTATTTTGAACAAATTATTATCAGATCAATCAACAATCAGAAAACTTTTTTTCTTACTTTCACTTATCTTCTCTTTATTGGTCTTATTTTCTTCATGTAGATGCAAGTTTCTGACCTAGGTCAGTTTCCTTCTTTCTGATGACCTTCTTTTAAGATCTCTTGCAAGGCAGGCCTATTGGCAACAAATTCTCTCATTTTTTATTTAAGAAAATCTTTATTTCTTCTTCACTTTTGAAGAATAATTTCACAGGGTACAAGGTTCCAGATTAGTGGGGTTTTTCCCTCTCAATATGTCATAGATTTGATTCCACTTTACTCTTGCTTGCATGGTTTCTGAGAAGTCAAATATAATTTGCTCCTCTAAGCAGCAGTCCCCAACCTTTTGACATCAGGGACCAGTTTCATGGAAGATTTTTTTTTTTTTTTTTTTTTAACCACAAATAGGATCAAACTCTTCCACCTCAGATCATCAGGCATTAATTAGATTCTCATAAACCGCGTGCATATGCAATTCACAATAGTGTTCACACTCTTATAAGAATCTAATGCGGCTGATCTGACAAAAGGCGGGGAGCTCAGGTGGTAATGCTCGATTACTGTAGCTCACCTGCTGCTGTGCAGCTCAGTTCCTAACAGGCCACAGACCAGTACAGGTCTCTGGCCCAGGGCTGGGGACTCCTGCTTTATAGGTAAGATTCCCCACTCCCCATTTCCCTACCCCTGGCTTCTTTCAGAAGTTTTTATCTCCCATTTTCTATAATTTGAATATAGTAGGCCTAGCTGTTGTTTTTTTTGAGACAGAGTTTCGCTCTTGTTACCCAGGCTGGAGCACAATGGCGCGATCTCGGCTCACCGCAACCTCCGCCTCCTGGGTTCAGGCAATTCTCCTGCCTCAGCCTCCCGAGTAGCTGGGATTACAGGCACACGCCACCATGCCCAGCTAATTTTTTGTATTTTTAGTAGAGATGGGGTTTCACCATGTTGACCTGGATGGTCTCAATCTCTTGACCTTGTGATCCACCCGCCTCGGCCTCCCAAAGTGCTGGGATTACAGGCTTGAGCCACCGCGCCCGGCCCCTAGCTGTTGTTTTTTGAGGCGTTTATCCTGTTTAATGTTCTCTGAGCATCCTAATTTTATAACTTTGTGTCTGACATTAATCATGGGAAAATTTTAGTCATTATTGTTTCAAATATTTGTTCTGTTTCTCTCTTTCTTCTCCTTCAGGCATTTTTTCATTATAAATGGATTACATGTTTTATAGTTATCCCACAGGGCTTGGATAGTCTGTCCTTTTTTTCTTTTTTCACTTTGCTTTTCAGTTTTGGAAGTTTCTATGGTCATATCCTCAGGCTAAGAGAGTCTTTCCTCAGCCTTGTCCAGTTTACTGATGAAACTGTTAAAGGCATGCTTTATTTCTGCAGATGCGTTTTTGATATCTAGCATTTCTGTTTGATTCTTTCTTAGAATTTTCACCTCTCTGCTTATATTATCTATCCCTTTTTGTATGTTGGCCTTTTTTGCATTAAAGCCATTATCATAATAATTGTAGTTTTAAAAAATTATTGGTTTAATTCCAATATTCCCACCACATATAGTTGGTTCAGATGCTTATTCTGCCTCTTCAAACTGCTTTACTGCCTTACAGTGTAACTTGCAATTTTTTTGATTAGAGGAAGACATGATTTACTGGATACAAAATAATTTGGTTAAGTAGGCCTTAGTCATGTGGTGATAAGGTGTGAGGGAGAAGTGTTCTGTAGTCCTGTGATTAAGTCTCAAATCTTTTAGTGAGGCTGTGCCTCTGGGCTGTGGCTTCGAAGTGCCTTCAGTCCCCTCATTTAAATGGAACATTATGGACAGAGGAGGCTGGAGTTGGGTATCTTCCTTTCCCCAACATGGAAAGCTAGAGGATGCAGAGTTGGATATTTCCCTTCTTCTATGTGAAAGCCTAGAGCTGAGTGGATTTGGATATTTCCCTTCCCCAGGTTAGTTAGGCTCTGATAATGCCACAGAAGATTAGACTTTTGTTAACTAGTTTCCCTGAAGATCTTGTTAAGAAGCACGGTGACTCACATCCGTAATCCCAGCACGTAGGGAGGTCGAGGTAGGCAGATCATGAGGTCAGAAGATCGAGACCATCCTGGACGTGGTGAAACCCCGTCTCTACCAAAATACAAAAAATTGGCCGGACGTGGTGGTGCACACCTGTAGTCCCAGCTACTCAGGAGGCTGAGGCAGGGGAATCACTTGAACCCCTGGAGATGGAGGTTGCAGTGAGCCGAGACTGACTGTACCACTGCACTCCAGCCTGGGTGACAGCAAGAATCCGTCTAAAAAAAAAAAAAAAAGAAAGAAGAACAAAATACTCTGATAAATTTCAAAATGGTTCATTTTCTGCTAAAAGTGTGAGGAGATTCCCACCCCTCCCCCTCACCAACCCCACGGCATTTACTGTGGTACCTTGCTTGATCTCCTGAACATAAATCTCACAATATTGTCGAGGCCTCCCAATGACTGGGTTCTCCTGGAGTTTTTCTCTCTCAGAAGTGTCCATCATGAACCTCCAACAATTTGTCTGCTGCCTTTTGTGTTTTCCTCCCCGACGCTGCTTCCTCAGGTCTCAGCTTGCACATCTGCTCAGGCACTCTCTGTATCCAACTGTCTCTCCACTTTTGAGGACAGTGGTCTGCTCCATGTCCTCCTCTTCCGTTGAGATTCAAGAAGAGTTGTTGCTTTTTCAGTTTGTTCAGATTTTTTTTTTTTACTTGTTGTTAGGACACAGTCACTACTTCTGAGGTCTTTACATGTGGAAAAGGAAACCAGAGGTTAGACATACTCTTTTTTACATGGAAGAATTTATTTTATATGAAAATAGTTTCAAACTTTTAAAAATAAAAATAGTAAAAGGAAAACTAATGTATCCTTTCACGTAGATTCTCCTGTTACCATTTTGCTCTGTTTGCTTTATTATTTTCATTTTCTCTCTCATTAACTACTCTTTTGCCAGGTTTTTTTATCCTCTCCTTATTTCTAGTCTTCAGACAAATCTTATTCAAAATTCATCCATATTTTAGATATAAAGAAACTAAAGCTTTATGAGATGAAGTAGAAGTCTATTATTTTTTGCCTCTTGTTCTTCAAGTGCTTTCTAATTTTCCTTTGGAGAATTTTTTTTTTTTTTGAGAAGGAGTCTTGCTCTTTCTCCAGGTTGGAGTGCAGTGGCGCAATCTTGGCTCAGTGCTACCTCTGCCTCCTGGGTTCAAGTGATTCTTCCGCCTCAGCCTACCGAGTAGCTGGGACCACAGGCGGGTGCCACCATGCTCGGCTAATTTTTGTATTTCTAGTAGAGACGGGGTTTCACCATGTTGGCCAGGATGGTCTCGATCTCTTGACCTCGTGATCCACCCACCTTAGCCTCCCAAAGTGCTGGGATTACAGGCCTGAGCCACTGTGCCCGGCCTCCTTTGGAGAATTCTTACTCTCCATCTGTGTGGTTCAGAAAGATGGATCCTCTCCAGGTTCTAGGGGTGGGTTCTGGTCCATGCTTAGCAAATGAAGGCACTGCATCCTCTTTGTCATAGCAGTTGGTTCAGATATGGGCATATGACTCAATTCAAATGAATTAGAACCAATCAACATTAGCCCCAAGGCATTTTTCTGAAACAATTAGAAATGCTGTTCTCTTTCCCTGGGAGTTGTTAAACTGTAGAATACCAAGTTTGGAGCAGTTAGAGCCCTTTTTTTGCTAACACAAAGAGACTTATAGTGAGATTGAGAATGAAGTTGATAGAAAGAAAGAGTTCTGAAAGCAAGAGTCATAGATGCCTGGAATCATTATTTGCAAGATATAGTCATGTTAGACTTAGATTTCACTTTTTGCCCAAACCTGGTTGATTTGGGATCACCACACTCTTTCTCAAGATTCCAAGGCTGTTAAGTGTCAGGAGCTAGAATTTAAACCAAGTTCTGTCTTAGACAAAACTCTTCCTCTTGCAAATAGAAGAGACCTGTCAATTGTACTAAGTGCTAGCGAATAAAGAGGAGAGAATTGCACACATGCAACTTCTTAAGAAGAATGTTTCAGTAGACAAGCTGGTTTTTTTTTTTTTGAGATGGAGTTTCGCTCTTGTTATCCAGGCTGGAGTGCAATGGCGCGATCTCAGCTCACCACAACCTCCGCCTCATGGGCTCAGGAAATTCTCCTGCCTCAGCCTCCTGAGTAGCTGGGATTACAGGCACACGCCACCATGCCCAGCTAATTTTTTGTACGTTTAATAGAGACAGGGTTTCACCATGTTGACCAGGATGGTCTTGATCTCTTGACCTCATGATCCACCCGCCTCGGCCTCCCAAAGTGCTGGGATTACAGGCGTGAGCCACCGCGCCTGGCCCTTGTTTTTCTTAAACATGTCTGTCATCTATGTTTTTATAGAACATCATATTCAGTACTGTGGCAAATAAAGAAAGACATGGAAATCAAAATAACTCCCTGTGTAATGCTTATGAATAGAAAATGAAAGTTTTTTTTTTTTTTAGACAGGGAAAAAGACACATTGAGAGTTTGATCATTTTTAACTACATAAATGGACAAAATTTTCTGTCTGAAATAAAGGGTAAAGGGCCACATCATACCCTCAAATCATTACCCTTTTCTGATATTTCCAATACTCCCCACAAAGTCACTGGCTTCGGATCCTTCAGATGCATAACACGAGTCATTTTCAGTTCTCTCTCGTTCCCATCCAAAGGTCCCAAGACAAGCCATGATGGTTCTAATTATACAATATTATTTTATTTTTATACTTCCACAGGCCTGGGCTATTTTTTTATATTAAGTTGGGACTGCTGCAACAATATAATAACAAAATATTATAATATTTACCATGCTTCCATTTTCACGCATAAGGACTTTGTCACCTAAGCATTTACTAAACCAGCATTTTTTTTCAAGCTATGGGCCTTAGTAGGTCACAGTGGAGTACAATGGAATGGAAATAATTGAATAGAGCAAGATAGAATACAGAAGGGCAGAACAGAATAGAATAGAACAGGAGTGTATTCCATGTTGCAAGTGTAAATATTGCAGCACAACAATTTTATATACCAAAAAATATGGGTATTGATATGGATATAAGTATTGATATAGATCTAGGTATATGACGTGAATGTGTTTGTGTGCATGCTTATGTATACTGGGTTGCCATATATAAAATATATTTCATAAGTGAGTTTTCAACAAAAATGTTCAAAATCCAATGAACTAGACAGGGTAGTAACTAGCAATCAATCAAAGAAAATATATTAGCAGAATATCTAGCTTATGCAAATATTGCTATAGGAATAATCATTATAACACAGAAGTTTGACCTTGCGATAGCTTGTGCTTTGAAAATTACAGTGAATACAATGCTCCCTAAGTTCTGAGCTCTTTCCAATTTGCTTCAAAGTTGGCCACAAAATTATGCTTCCTGTGAAGTAACCCTTATCTGTCATTGTCCTCTGACATTGCTTCTCTCTTCTCATCTCTGCCAAGTCACAGCACTACCTCCATTCAGAATCTTGTACAAAACATACTTTTTCCACAGAACTGTGATAAATGTTGTCCCAAAAGAAACTTAGTTTAGGCCAGGCGCAGTGGCTCATGCTTGCAATCCCAGCACTTTCGGAGGCCAGGCACGTGGATCACCTGAAGTTAGGAGTTTGAGACAGGCCTGGCCAACATGGCAAAACTCCATCTCTACTAAAAACACAAAATTTAGCTGGGTATGGTGGTGGGCACCTGTAATCCCAGCTACTCAGGAAGCTGAGGCAGGAGAATTGCTTGAATCTGCAGGTGGAGGTTGCAGTGAGCTGAGATCAGGCCACTCCACTCCAGCCTAGATGGACAGAGCAAGATTCCATCTCACACACACACACACACACACACAGTTAGTTTATATCTTATTTGATTAAAATATTTTTAACTTATTGCCAATTTTGTAAAGAGTTTTAAAAGTGCAGGGGAAAAAATAAAATACAGTATAAAGAAGGAAACAAAGAAAAAAGTAATCCACGTCAATCTAGTGGTAGCTATTCCTGTTAACATTTTAGGTAGGTTGAAATTGCTCCAAAGGCCGAAGGAAAAAAAACACATATTTTTTGAGCTAGAGTCTTGCTCTGTTGACCAGGCTGGATGGAGTGCAGAGGAGCAATCTTTGGCACACTGCAACCTCCATCTCTGATGCTTGTGATTCTCCTGTCTCAGCCTCCCGAGTAGATGGGATTACAGGTGCACTCCAACATGACTGGCTAATTTTTTTTCTTTTTTTTTTTTTTTTTGTATTTTTAGTAGAGACAGGGTTTCACCATGTTGGCCAGGCTGATCTTGAACTCCTGACCTCACGTGATCTGCCTGCCTTGGCCTCCCAAAGTCTGGGATCACAGGTGTGAGCCACCGCAGCCAGCCAAAAAAATTTTTATTTGACATGTTGAAGAGGAATCATAATTCCCCCAAATCTATTCCTTTTAAGGTTTAAATTAAATATAATCAATGTGAGCACAAAACTTTTTTTTTTTGAGATGGAGTTTTGCTATTGTTACCCAGGCTGGAGTGCAATGGCGCGATCTCCACTCACCGCAACCTCCGCCTCCTGGGTTCGAGCAATTTTCCTGCCTCAGCCTCTCGAGTAGCTGGGATTACAGGCATGCGCCACCACGCCCAGCTAATTTGTTGTTTTTCAGTAGAGACAGGATTTCACCATGTTAACCAGGATGGTCTCGATCTCTTGACCTCGTGATCCACCTGCCTCGGCCTCCCAAAGACAAAACTTTGATAATTAAAAAATTAACTATCACTCCTGAGTTATAAGAACAAGGATTTAACCAAAAGATTACTTGTGATTAAAAGATATTTATAAAAGCTGATGTAACTTACTAGTTTCATTAGTAGTCTGTGCCAGTTTCTCTTTGAATTCAAAAAGTGTTTTCAGAGCGTCACAATAATGTTTTGGGTTGACAAAAATATGATATGCACAGTGGTGAAACCTGATGAAGAAGGACTGAAAAATGTGTGAAAACAAAACGTGTGAGAGTGTTAGACTAAGTCCTGGAGAGAAACATAGGAATGGATCTGTAATCCTAGTTCAAGTTTCTAGTCTTTTTCCTTGTGTCTCTGCCAACTGTCTTTCTACATAAATTAAGAGTAAAGCTCGCAAGAATAACAAACGTTTTGCTGAAATGCTGATATATTTTTATTTCCCTATTTGAACACCATGGAAAGTACATTTGAGTTTATGAATATTAAATTTCATGTCCTCATTCACGATCTCATCCCTGCATCTTGTCCCC